GCTTTTGTCTAAGGAAGAAGTAAGTAAACTATGTGCCCTCCAGGCATTTAAAGTTATATATTTATATAAACAACACATTAACAACACATTGAAAGAAATATCATGAAGAATAAAATACAACAACAAAAGATTCCAGAGATATTTGCAGTTGTATATTTGTAATCTTTTGGAGAGATACAACATTTAAAACATCTACATTCAGTATTTCTGCTCAGAAAAGAAGCATATAGAATGATAAAGATAATCTATTGGGAATTACTTTAATATAACTAAACATTTGAAAGCAATTGTAAAAATAGCAAACTTTAAATAATTTTTCAAAATTCTTTCTTGTGTTTACTTTTTCAGCCAATGTTATGTTCCACACTTTTAAACTATACTGATACAAAAAAAAAGCATATGTGAGAACAAGTTATACAATACAACTGATCAGCCTGGTACCTGATCCATCTATTATCAGAATAAGGGACAGACAAAACCATCCAAAGAGAATAGCTTCTAATGCATTATATTACAAGTATAATATCTGAACTTTGAATACACCATAAATAAGGTTCTCATTTAATACACAGCAATTGCAGGAATTCTTTCATAACTATTTTAGTAAATCTACTTCTCTGAATTTATCCTTGAATGCCTATTTGTTTTCTTGTAGAAACCTGATAGTGAACTCATATCTTTTGTTACAGTAAATTGACAGTAAATTATTATGTTGCACATTTCACAGAAAATAAAATTAGAAAAAATACTAAAGGTTGTTATGGGATATTTCCATCTCCTCAAAACTTTTGTCGAGATTGAGTAATTAAGTGGGTATTATCCAGAAATAATATTGTGTTGGAAACAACTACAAACTAAAAAGACCATCTAATAATATATTTTAAGGGTGTGTAATGCCTCCTATAATTTGTATTTATAGTCAATTCTTAAACTAGAATAGGAAAAAAATTGTTCTAAGTTAATTTAGCAAGTTCAAATCTTTTAACAGTCTTAAAAACAACCCTCCAGATATTCTGAAGTCCAAAAGTCCTAACCAGCATGACCAATCATCAGATATCTTAAGAGTTAAAGACCAAGGCATCTGAAGGACACCAACTTAGCTACTGCTGTTTTGTTTAGCTACATGCAAGGCACTGTCAGATCCACCAGTTTCAGCTTGGCACCTTGCTGGCGTTCTGACATCAATCAAGGAAGGGATGGGGGGAACAAATGGGCAATAAAGTTGTATACCTTGATGATGGGAAATTGGGAGGGGGGATTGACAATTGAGGAACAACAGAGCATTTTGGAATCTGGTTCGTAATGGTGCGCTGGCATCTTCAAGGCAGTTTACCCTGAGAGTGAAATTTTACCAGCTCAAACATCTCGGTGTTTCCCAAAACATCTTGGTAGTGCCAGATTGGCTACACATGGATGGATCATGGGAGGAGGGCTAAGGGGAACCAAGAGGTTAGTCTTTTATTGGTGCGTGGGAACTTTACATCTCGTTTGACTCTACTGCAATCAGCATCTCTTAGCAAAAGTGCCTTTTCATTTCAAACAAATGGAGTCGAGAGTTTTACTTCACTAGGCGATCAGACTGAGGCAGATCTGATAGGCACTTGGAATTTATTCCTACTATAAAATATTTATAAAATATTTGAATTCAGTTCTCAAAAAATCTACTTTATGGTTCTGAGGCAGAGTAATCTAAAAAAGCATTGAAAGCCAGAACATATTCATAGATATCTCCACAAGAAAAAAAATGCTATTTTCTCCATCATAAGTTTGTTCTCTATAAAGAAATCTTCAGCCCTGAGCAACAAAGTCTAACTAACCTCTATTTTCCAGGCTCCATTTGTAGGTAGAATTCATACCAATCATAGCATCTGTTTTTTCAGGATTGCATGGTACGGTGAATTCCTTGGCACCAATGTGGACAAAAATGAGTTCTGAAAGAAATAAAAGTGATGTAGAGTCCTAAGAGAGTAGGATGGCAAGGTTTTTCTGCTGTATTAATGTACAGTTCTAAATAATACCTATATTTATGACTAGATCAGTTGGACAGAACATGATGCCATAACTAGAGATTTAAGACTTTAATATTCAGGAGTTACATATGTGGAAAAGCTAAATACCCCCATCTATTGCTAGAAATCTCAAAATATTTATGAAAAAATGGAATTCATCTTTATTAATTTTTTACCTGTCTCTTCCTCTTCAACAGATGCCTGCCCTGAAGAAGTTTCATTCTCAGATTTGTACAAATCAAGAAAGAGTGCACAGCCTGAAAAACGAAGTAAAATCTTAGCAAGCTGCTATGGCTGGAAATTATTTTACATTCAAAGTACCTTTATTTCAATGTTTACAAAACTGCCTTTTCCAGTATAATGGTGCGCTGAAACTCCTGAAAGCTAGCTCACACCTACCAACAATCTAGAGTAAGGTAAAAGTAAATCAGGATATAATATCAGATCTTGGATCACAACCCAATTTTATAAGGATTTCTCACTCCCAGTTTAACAACAACCAATATAATATATTAATTTTAATTGGCCTTGTTCTAATACAGTGAGTCTCAAATCAGGAGTCACAGCTAGTTGAATTCAACACAGCTTCCTCATAATCAGTGGGGATCAGGTCACCAAATCACATTTAGTGTATTTACTGTATTGCTTCCATCACTGCCTCCCTGCATTCACTTTCAATCTGTTGTTTGGCAAAGTTACATCAGTGATTGAAAAATGGCTCACTGAAACTAATAGCAATACTATAAGTAGCAATGTACCAAAATTAAGAAAACAGAGAGTAATGAACAGATCTCAAATACAGTTACTGTGAGTTCATATATCTTATGCCAAGTATAACTGTGACCTCATGTAACCAACCTTTTATTCCCCCCCAATGTCAATAAGAGTATCTAAAGGTGGGATTTCTTTGGATTATGAATCTATCAATCCCAAGTTATTAATATTCAGAATCACTTTATAAGAATTTTCTTGACTAGGAAGTTTGTGCTTATAATTTTCACTATTATGGCATAGGGAACCTAAAGTAAATCAACAAATATTTAGTTTGGGTGATATTTTTGTGTACACAATTTAAGTGTCTTTTAAAACAGAAGGGATGGTAGCACAACTATAATCATTATTTGCCAAGAAATATGAACTCCTATGCTCTTAAAATTGCAAATGTACAGATACAAATATTTGTATAACTGGGTAGCTCTCAAATTTCTAAATGTTTACTGAATGGACTACAAATATATAGTCCTTATAGAAAGTCTGTATGTTATGTGTTAGAGCATTTGCTCAAAGTATGGCTCATGAGTGAATATTTTTTTTAATAAATGATTAGCATTTTCCTATTAGCTGTACCTCCTTTTTACTTTTTACTTTACTTTTTACCTCCCACCTCTCTCCTTTCAATTGCTCTTGCTTCAGTTGATGTGCTTTAAGCTTCTAAATTGAATCTTACACATCTGTGATTTAGGATTTCAATCAAACTTAATTTTTCATGAAATAACGCAGACAGACATTTTGCCTGGGAGCCAAGAGGAGCATTGGTCTATTTCATCTGCTAATGGCCAGTCAAATCGTTTTTGAATGTTTACAACAAACAAAACTAAATTACTGATAAATACTGCTCATCGGTATGAAGGCACCATAATGGCAAAAGCTGCACCTTGTATCTTTTGCCTAGAGTTACCACATTTTTACTATACAATAGCCCTGTATCAGTGGTGGCGAACCTGTGGCACGCGTGCCAGAGGTGGCACTCGGAGCCCTTTCTGTGGGCACAAGTGCCATTGCCCCAGCCTCGTCTCCCCCCACGACCCCCTCACCAGCGGCCCCCCTGGAGGAGTCACCCCTGAGCGTGGCCCACGTGGAGCAGTGCGGCCAAGGACATGGCAGCCAGGCGGTGTAGACAAGACTCTGCCCTCATGCCCCATCGCGCACAGTTGATGCTGCGGGGTGCGGGCAGTGTGGCTGCCATGGCGCTGCTGGGCTGCCTGGACAATCTGTGGCGGGCTCTGGAGGCGGTGAGTGGCCCTGCGGGCAGGCGGGGTGGGGGACAGTGTGGGGACGGAGCAGGGGCACGGCAGGGGGTGGAGCGGGGGCCGGGCCAGTTTTGGGGCACTCGGTCTCTAAAAGGTTCGCCATCACTGCCCTATATAGTTGTAACTCTAAAGCAGTGGTGGCGAACCTATGGCACGGGTGCCAGAGGCGGCACTCAGAGCCCTTTCTGTGGGCACGCGTGCCGTCGCCTCAGTTCTAGGCCTTCAGCTGGGTTTTATAAAACCTTTTCGCTTTAGGCCTCCGCCGCCGTGTGCAAAAAAAAAGAAAAAAGGTTCAATCAATCAGTCAATTTCAACTTCTCACAGGAAAAAAAAATCTTGGTTTCAACCTTAACTAACTAACTTGAAAAATCAGGGTGGGTCAGACGGTAATGGTGGCGTCGGTGCGGGTGGGTTCTCTGTGCGGGTCGGTTACCCGGTGTGGGTCGGTTACCCGGTGTGGGTGGGCCGTGGGCTACTACGTATTCACCAAAACCCAACGTCAAACCCGTGAGCCAGAGATTTTCCAAGCGGTAGTGACCTCTAAAGGCTTTGTTCTGTTCAAGGCATTCTACATCCTCCAGAATCCCAGCCTCCAAACTATGGGAACCCTTCTAGGGTCGGCCACCTCACTGCAGTCCATCTCCATACCAGGTCTCTGACAAAGAAAGAGGATTATGACACCCAAAGCAACTCTAACCCCTCGACCTGGCATAGACATGTAGCCAGGCTCGAGGACAATTTGCTCCGTGCCGGAGGGCGTTCCCACTCTATCACCATGGTAACGAGAGGGAAGAAAGGCGTTCGATGCATCCTCCTTAGTTACCACTCAAACCCTTCTGTGACTCGGCGGCCGCTTTACCGGCCCCGTCCCTCCTTTGGAAGCGGCTACGTCACCTGCCCCCTCTCCTCCTTCTGGTCGCCGGTGGTTGCGTAAGGTGTCTACGTCATCAGAATGCGAGTCTCGGAAAGCGTAGCTTGCTGAAGTATTGCTAATTTGTATACGAAATGCGATCTTGAGCCGCGTGGGCGGGAAGAGTAAAGAAGGGGGCGGCGAAATTTATTTTCGCGGGAAGGCGAAGCGGCTTTTTCTGGCCTTTTCTTAGTTTGGGGCCTGGACTTTCAGGAGGGAGAGCTATGAAGCCACCATCAAGGCTGCGTTCGGCGCCCGCTCGCTACCGTCTGGACCCCGCAAGCCGGGTTTGGACGGATCGAGAAAAGCGACGTCTTCTCCAGGCTTTGAGAGCTCAAGCTCAGACTCCGGGCCCGCTGCGACCGGAACAGCTGAAGAAATACTTGCCCTCCAGAAACGAAGACGAGGTGGGTTTAGGCCAGGGGTAGGCAACCTTGGCTCTTTTATGACTCGTGGACTTCAACTCCCAGAATTCCTGAGCCAGCTGTGCTGGCTCAGGAATTCTGGGAGTTGAAGTCCACGAGTCATAAAAGAGCCAAGGTTGCCTACCCCTGGTTTAGGCGCAGTCTGTGGGTTGGGATAATTTAAAAGGCTTCGATGGGGGTCATACTAAAACGAAAGACGGGAATATCCGAAGAAATTGTGGGAACAGAGAAACTGCTAGTGACTATTTAGATTGTGATAAAATCACACACACACACACGAAACAACCAACAGGTCATGCTGTACCTATTTCTTTGCCGTATTGTACCTGCTTTATACTATGTTCTATAAATACCTGCTGTTATGGATTGAACTGTTATTCAGTTATCCTAGTCGCTATTTAATCGGGACATTTTTTTCATTTTAAAAATGAAACTCATTTTTGAGTTTCAACTGCCCAAATAATAATACCAATGATCTAGCCTGAAGATGGGAACATAATCTATTTCTAATTGAGAAGTGTGTTTGGAAGTGACAGGCAAGTACCTTAGAATGATGCAAATAGGACATTTAAAGATGAAATGGAAGAGCCCCAAGCGTTTGAAAACAAGGAGAGGACTCATTATAAATCCTTGTCTCTGTCATAAAGAATGTGGAATATACACTAAGATTCTATCTTGCAATATATGTTCAGCTAAGTGTGTATATAGCTTTTGAACGATAAAACATAAGGGTTTTCCTCTTGAACTGAAAAAGAAGCCTAAATGTCAAAGAGCAATATTTTCTTATGTCTAAATGGCACAACATGAATAAGTTTTCCCACTTTTAAGAATTTGTCAGCAAGCCAAATTTAAATCAAAGCAGAAGCATGTTAATAGAAAAATATTTGACTTCCTGTTTGTGTGTATTTATTACATTTCCATCCAGTCTTTCTATCAAAGAGTTCAAACAGCATACATGGAATCTCCCCATATTTTCATCCTCAAAATTACAATTCTGAGATATGACTTTGAACCAATTATTTCTCAGGTCCAAAATATCCATGAAATATATGGGTTCCATGAGATAAAAAAGGCAAAAAAAAAGGTATTTGAATACAGCCAACTTTCTATTAGTAAGGTTTTGTCTCTTAATAAGGAGTTCTAGTTTGCTTAACTAGCATAGCCTTAAACAGTTTGAGAGTTATACTTAGCAATAGCACTTAGACATATATACCGCTTCATAGTGCTTTACAGCCCTTTCTAAGCTGTTTACAGTCAGCATATTACCCCCAACAATCTGGGTCCTCATTTTACGAACCTGGGAAGGGTGGAAGGCTGTCAACCTTGAGCTGGTCAGGATTGAACTGGCAGTGGACAGCGTTAGCCTGCAATTCTGCATTCTAACTACTGCACCATCATGGCTCTTAGAATTCACTTTACACTTATTGTTTGTGGCTAAAGAATTTTCCTTAATGGGTGATTCTAGTTCTCCATTTTTGAAAATGTAAAGTTCAGTAGATGTCCTAATTTGTTAATGCAATCAGCAAAACTTACAGGTGGGGGCATTCGTGAAGTGGGTTGGATATAATTATTCCTATAACTGACAAAGCACAAAGCTACAGAAAACAAAATGATTCTGCTCTGGTTGTAATGTTTCTCTTTTGCACCAGGAAGAAAACTGCAGTTTTTCTGAAAATAGCCATTTTCAGTGTTGTTTTAAAAGTAGAATGCTGCCTTCTTCTAAACATTCATGTGTGATGTTTTTCAGATCTTAGTATTTGTAGACCAGCTGAAAGAACGTGTGGCAAGGGAAGCAGTCAAGGCACGGTATCGATATCGCCAATGCGAACAGAAGGATGCCCCAGTTCCAGCACCTATAGAGGTCTGAAATTATTAAAAGTATGGTTTCAGAGATAAGACGAGTAGGCCAAAAGATACTCATGTATTGTGTCATACTCTCTATTCCAGATATGGATTCGTTTAGCTAAGAAGTTAACAGGTTGCCTTGAGGATGCAGTAACAGCTGCTTTTTCCCAGGTAACAGTGGTATCCTCTCTATAATATGATCTTATTAAGATAAGTATTGCTATGAAAATAATAATTTGAGAGATCTTTAAGTTTAGATATGCAAACGTTTTCTTGAAACAAGCAAGTCTACCATTGCTAATTACAATTATTCAATTCTTTGATTTTCATCTTTCCCAGCAAAGATGCAGTAGTCAAAAATACAGAGTATTTAGTTTTCTGGTATTTGAGTTATTGAAATTTTTTTCTTCTGATTATCTTAATTAGGTTTTAACAATTGCATCTGCGGAGCCACTCTCTTTGCTTCACTCTGTGCCACCAAAGCCTGTAGAAGGAAATGCTGTTCAATGCACGATCCCAATTGTTCCTAGCAAGAATATGAAATCCAATACAGAATCTGAGGAAGCAACTGTATCATCAGATGTAGAGCAATTGACCCCTGCAGAAAATGGTGAAATACATGTGGACTTTGAAAAGATATACAAGTATCTTTCAGTGATTTCACGGGGATCTAAAGCACCAGAGCTACCACCTGGTGGTAAGTCAGGATTTAGATCAAGATGAAAAGATAAGATGAGCTGTTCCTGCATCTGGAATTACATATGTTTACCTTTTTGTGGCAATAATTGTTTTATTTACTCTATCTTTAAATTTTAGTTGCTCCTAGACCTGCTTTTTACTATCATGTTATTCTTTGTAATACATTTCATTTTTGTAAACTGTTCAGGTTTCTTATTGAAGGAAGACTTAAATTGTATAAATGCTGCAGGGAGTGAAAAAGCCCTAGACCTGAAAAGAACGTATTGAATGTCTCCAAGGTTTTTAGTATGTTTGAAATATTTTAAAATAATTTCCCATCCAATATTCTAGGGCCAGCTCTGTGGGCCATCTACTTTTGCACTTTTAGGATAGTAAATGAAAGAAAGGCTTGTTTAAAGTTCCAATTACTCCTCATGAGCTCAAAATAAAACATGCTTGTTTATTAGCAATGTTTATGGAACAATGGTTGAGATTTTAGAGAGTAAGGAAAATTTTCAAATGCAAATTTCTCCGTGTGAAAATACGAATGAGAAGTGAGCTAAGAGAATTTTCTACATATATAATAGGGAAATTATAGCTGTTATTGTAATGACCATAGTTTTCATTTAGCTTTTCATACAAACATGTTAGAAATTACCATAAATCTCTAAGACTTGGTGATAATTAAAATTCAAATCAGTTGATGCAGGAAAGAGTGAACAATGACAATTATTTTGCTAGACCTTTTGGGGAAGTATAGGAGAAAAAACTTGTAAAAATGTCAATTAGAAAATTAAATGCAACATGAATTAGTTCTCAGTCACTACTTAACGTTTTGCTTCCTTTATTGCTTTCTACAGAGTCGGCTGTTCTACTAGACTTGCTTTTGTCATTACCAGAAGAACTGAGTCATCTGGATTATAAGAAACTTAAGGGGCATATGTACAAATGCTATATTGATTTAAGTGCACACTATAAGAATGAAAAAAGTAGAATGAAAGCAAAGTTCAGCCCACTTGTAAACAATAATGAAGATCTTCCTGAAACATTTTATAATGTGCCATCAGCCGGAAATAGCTTTTCAAAAAAGCAAGAGGATACTAGTCCTAGTACTTGTTCTACAAGTGGCACAACATCAACACCTTCCACAGATTGGAAGACGCTGGGTATTTGCCCATTGAATTCATTTTGGTTTCCTTTGGATATTCTAGCACAAAAAAAAGAGATTTTGGATTGAAGACTCTTATTTTATTACATGTCATGAATGTTGTGTATTGGTATCTGTAAGAGTGGAAAAACAACTGTCATATTTTGGCCAAGCATGTCCCTTAATTTTGTTCAGAATTTAACACTTGACTTACGAGTATGTCTACTTTGTATTTTTAAATGGATATATGTGAATGTTCAGAATTTTTCCTCCCAAAATCCTGAAGTTTACTCTTTTATTACTGGGAAATCATTCTCATCTTAGAAAGTTTGTGCTTACATAATGCTCTGAGTGTCAATCTTTGTTCTAAGGATATGGATTATTCCAGATGTATCAAATGCAATCAGTGTTATTAACGTGTTTCTGCAGTATAATACAGCTGAAATGTTGTTTCAGTGCTATGAAAAAGATTGCATGCTCCTTTATGTATAATTGGCAAAGTTCCTTTAATTCAAGATCACTTTGACTAATCAATTTCTATGAGTTGGTGGTGAGGCAAAACTCCTTGTTAAATTTCTTATTCTTATTTCATAAGAATGAGATAATTCCAAATTGAGTGAGAATTTCAGAATCTCATTTAATCTGATGTTTGCAGTTTGGTAGATGGATTGTTCTGCAGATCATAGATAGGGAACAATTAATGTAATGTAGCTTTGTAATATTTTCATTAAAATATAAAAGCAATATTTTTATTTATTTGTATTCCACCTTATTTTTACAAATAATTCAAAGTGCCAAACACACCCAATATTCCTTCCTCCTCCTATTTTCCTCACAACAACCCTGTAATGTGGGTTGGGCTGAGAGAGAATGAGAGTGAAAGTCACCCAGCTGGTTTCCACGGCCAAGGTGGGGCTAGAATCCACAATCTCCCACTTTCTAGCCTGGTGCCTTAACCACTAGACCAGGGGTAGGCAATCTTGGCTCTTTTATAACTCGTGGACTTCAACTCCCAGAATTCCTGAGCCAGCCAAGTTGACGTCCACGAGTCATAAAAGAGCCAAGATTGCCTACCCCTGCACTAGACCATAGCATTACATTGTTTTTTTAGACAGTTAACAGAAAATCTAGAATTGCTTGCTTTGCATGTAGAACAGAGTACATTTTAACAAATATTATTATAATAATAATAATAATAATAATAATAATAATAATAATAATAAAGTTGGAAGGGACCTTGGAGGTCATCGAGTCTAACCTGCTGCTCAGGCAGGAAACCCTACACCATTTCAGACAAATGGCTGTCCAGTCTTTTCTTAAAAACTTCCAGTGTTGGAGCATTCACCGCTTCTGGAGGCAGGTTGTTGCACTGGTTAATTGTTCTAAATGTCAGGAAGTTTCTCCTTAGTTCTAGGTTGCTTCTCTCCTTGATTAGTTTCCATCCGTTGCTTCTTGTCCTGCCTTCAGGCA